TAACTTTGCCCTCTAACAGTTGTGACTGATGCCATGCATATTGTGCTGTGTTTAATTTGGAATATGATATTTTGAGATGATTAATTTAGGCTCATTCTTCTTTCTGAACTATTAGCATGTCCATTGGTGTTTCCGGACATAAAGAACATATCCAAAGAATGTGGAGAGGATACAAGTAATCCGACATCCTGTTGCAACGCACTGAATAGTTACTTGTCGCGCTTGCAACAGCAAAGCTTCATCACAAATCTCCAAGCTTTAACTTGTGCTACATTGCTTGGCAAGAAGTTGCAAGAAGCAAATATCACCAGTAATATTTTTGACCTTTGCCATGTAAACCTCAAGGATTTTTCTCTTCAAGGTCAGTTCCTTTGCAGCATCTTTTCGTCCTGCAATTATTTTCTTTTGTACTGGTTAGTTATTGACATTGTTTGGGTGTTCAATTTGTTCTTACTGCGGGGAACCCTGGATTTCATTTGCCACATACTGATGCACCAGTGGATGAAAAAGGTAACGAATTACTCTAAATTATAGGACTGTCTTTATAATCATATGTTCCCACATAAAGTAGAAGACAGATGGAAGTAAATTGAGTCGGAATATCTGATTCCATTTAGTTTACTTGTTTAATCTTGATCTTTCAGAAGTACGGTACTATAACTTCAGCAGTTTGGAGTTGGTTTATCGACATGTAGAACTTTATCATGGAAATTTGTTTTTTTTCCCTTTCTGGTGTATAACATATCATTTATTGCTTATGTACACTTCCTTTCTGAGGCATATCATATAGTCTTGTTTTATTAGGTACAACATTGTTTGACATATCGAATGCATGATACGCCACTCTTAGCTAGGAAGAGCGACACAAATGAATGATACTTCACTGATTTCTTTAGTATTTCTTTCTTCTCAACGATTGAATGATATATATGTCTTTAGAGAATTGCAATTGTCATGTGGAAACTTTTCACTTCACTGTCATTTGTTCTCAAGTTCGACTGATTCTTTTTTAATTTACTGTAGAATCGGGTTGCCTCTTGCCTAGCTTGCCGACAGATTTAACATATGACCAGACTTCAGGAATTGGCTTCATTTGTGATCTTAATGATAATGTGGCAGCTCCTTGGTCCTCACCATATTCTGGTGCTGCTTCCACCTGCAACAAGAGTATGTACAACTTTTTGCCTTCAGATAACTTTGAAAGAGAGAAACACTATCTTCCTTTACAATTGCAAACATATTACAACTTTCATTTACCTCTCTTTCTGATTATCCCTTCGTTTAACGAGTGTCATTTACTTTGATAACAACAAATGACTTTGCAGCAGCTGCACTTCCAGAACTTCCCAAAGCAACATCCTCTCAGCTCAGTAAAGGTATGGCACAATAGCTACAGCCTTGTTTCTATGGCTAAAAACTTGACTCCAGTGGCTCACTTTATTTAGAACGCGTTTCTGATTATAAAATAAGTTGTTGGATTACTCGTTCAATCTTATAATCACACTTCACATACATCAGCTTAATATATTGGTACTACTTCAAAAATTTGGCCTCCCTACACAATAATGAATATGATTAATGAAGCTGATTTAACAGTAAAAACTGATTAAGTTACGCGGATTCCTTTTTGTAATTTCTAGAGACAGATCACAACTAGAGACTAGAGAGCTACAAGAAGATACATACATGTGACATGTAATTTGACTCGGCACAAGTTTAAGATAAAGATTTTTTTAAAATTTGTGATCTTTTAACATGTCATAACTCATAACATTTGTATAGCTATAAAAGCTTCTCAATAAGTGTAAAAGGAGATGTCTAAAGTTTCATGATTCCCAAATATAGAAATGTGTTGTTATTTTTGGAACAAACTAATAAAAAAAGAAAGTGTCACGTAAATTGAAACAAAATTGGACTAGAGTCTTTAGTCTGCATCATCAATGACTTGAGAGGTTACCTTTTTTTCCCTAATTGGGTTAATGTATCCAATACTAAAACTAACTGACTCAACTAATCTGAATTCGTGCCAGTATAATTAGATGTTACTATTTTATTCCAGTTTTTCTGGTGTCATAAATTTTCTTATGAAGAAAGTTACTTTTCTCCAAATTTGTACCTGACTATTATAGAATTGAATCTTTGAGGGCCAAAATAATCTGTTTCCAACACATAATTGTATCTAAATATGCAAAATTTTCTTGCATTTCAGGAATCTACATGAAAGATTTAGTGTATGCCCTGCTTTTTGCTTCATCAATGGCCATCCAGTTGCTAATTTAAGTCTTCTGGATCACTTGAATTTTCATCAAAGAAATATGATATATAGTAACACTTATAGACAACTTTTTTGTTTTGTTTTGTGGGGTTGGGACAACCTGGGAGATACAACATGATTCGAACCCCTCACTAGACTAAAGGTGTGGACAACTCTCCAACTGCGCTGTACTTCTAGACGACTCCATATGTATGTCCCTAAAGAAAAATGTTAGCAAAGTAGCTTAAATTTGCATCATTCTCTCTTCTTTTTTGTTTTTGTTTGTTGCAATAAAATTTGTATAGAGAAAATTTGAATTGGCAATTACTTTATTGTATATACATTGTTTATTCAGAGTTTAATCTGTTAATTTTGATGATTAGTACGTTGAAACTCTTTTTGAAACTATATTATGATTCATAAATGTTTTAAAGCTTTTATTGATATTAGTTAATTGTCATTAGATGCTCATTATACGCTTTAGGAACATTTATAAAGAGTGCTAATTGCCTTTAAATAAACGTATTTAACGATAATTTAATTTATTGACGTTAATTAATTACCTCTAAAAATCATTTTTGGATAATTGGATAGTGTAAGTTTATGCAATATTCAATGAGAAAAATGAATGAACATGATAATCAACAAACACTGTAAATATAAAAAAGTAACATCAGATTCTTTTCGTAACATTAGTAAAAAACAATTGTGATTTACGATATTATGCTTATCTATTATTTTAATTCTCTTATGAGACAACGTTCTACCTACCGTAAAAATAATAATAGAGAACGAACAATTGCGAATTAATTTTACCCTTAGTATAAATTCAATCCACTTCAAAAGAAAATTGTATAGTTGCAACTTACAGGCTACAACTTTTTAAAAGCATTTTTTAATTTTAAAATATAAATCACATGAATAAAAAAAGCCGCCAGCAAGAACATTCTTTATTTATTTTGTCCTTGCAGCTAGCCGCCTGCAGCCTTCTCAGGTTCTTTTGTTCTCTCTTCTTCAATTCATTTTTACCGAATACATATAATATATGTTATTGATACAGCTACAGTAACTAAACATGGGTTGTGATATAGTGGTAGAACTATTTCAACTTTTATAATAATTAGAGGTTTCGAGTTCAAATTATAGGGAGAAAATCTTATTAAGAATGTCATTCATAAATTGGCCCTACAATATGCGATTTAAATATAATTGGTAAGTTGGAGAAAATTATCCACCCACAAAATTTAATGGAGAAAATTACACCCAATAATTATGAAAAATAGATGGTCTTAAACTTTTAACCTCTGCTTATCTCGTGTGCAAACCTCCCGGGTAAAAATTATTATCCATGAGATAATAAATGTTATATTTAAAATTTTGTCCATGAGCGAGCTCAAAACTTCCGGACCACCCACCTTCAAACCCCGAGGTCATTCTTATAAATAATCCAATGTAATGTGTCAAGCCTTTTATTTTATTCACGCCCCAAGGCTCAAATTAAATAATGTCACATAAATTAGAAACGGTATCTTTTATTAAAAATTACTCCTCTTTAATTTGTTTAATAATATATGTCCACTTCGTGCTTATTTTATAAAGTCAGCCATAGTAGCATAAATTTCAAAATGAACAAAAATAATAATTTAAACAATATCTCATAAATTAGAATGAATTATAATCTTTATGTGCTCAAGATCCAATTAATAAAATTCGTTGGTTACATGAGGGATTCCTAATTATTAAGGGTCAAAACGAGCCAATAAAAGATTTGAGGGTATATATCACAAGAAATTTAAATTTAGGAGTTTTAGGCGGCTTCGCTGACCTATCGTGTGGTAAAACGAAGAAAGTATGAAAGAATAGTAAACGGAGTATGCCAGCATCTGAATTTCTACTTTTTTGTCTACTTTCATCCGTAATACTTGACAAAATTTTACGACTAGAAAATAAGATTAAAAAAAAGACAAGTGTCATATGATATAAAATGTTCCTGTGAGCAAATTATTCTTTTAAATAATTAGATGCAATCATTTCATAATTTAGTTGCATTGACCATCTATATATGTTTAAATTAAACTAGTTGAATATGACCTGTTTCCTATGAAGTTTCTTTTGGTAAGTATACGTAACAGTTCTTGAAAACATCATATTTGTTAAAAGTATCTTTCAACCACATGTTATTAGTCTCACCTAGAATACTATTTTAAAAAAATAAAATCTACCTCTTGGAAGTCATTTTGTTCAGGGCAAAAAACCGGAAAATTAATGCACCAATTATCTAATGGTAGAAAATCCTATTACAGTCTTGGTTCGATCTACATAATAATAATATTAATAAAAAGACCTTTCAAGGTTAATTTCTGATATCGATCAGTATTATCTGCTTTGAGGTTGATCGATATTGCCTAAAAGTCGTCGATTTTGACCTTTTATTTAAATAGTAATATCCCTATAACCAATATCATAGGATCAAATGTGTGTGTATATATATAACACGTGTTGTAACTCAATCCATTTATTTATAATTGATCTTTTTCAAATATATGGCTTGTTTGGATTTAAGATTAGCAAGCTAAGGTGGCTATTTAATTTGTCCCACATAGTCTTATTTTGGTCCATCCTGGACACTAAATTTGATGGCTAACAACTTAACTATCCTCTATATAAGTAGTAATAATCATCTCAATATGAAAAATCACATCAAGTTGAATTAATTTCCATTCTTTGGTTTCCTTTACTAATTAAGATGGATTTTCAACACTTGGTTTTCTTCTTTCTATTTATATCCTTCCTCTTCCTTCTAATTCAAAAATGGAGGAAGCCGAAAACCCGGCTTCCTCCAGGCCCATGGAGGCTACCTATTATTGGAAGTGTGCATCACTTGACAAGTGGATTACCACATCAAGTTCTCAAAAAGTTATCTCAAAAATATGGTCCTATGATGTACTTACAACTCGGGGAAGTTCCTACCGTAGTTGTATCCTCCTCACACATGGCCAAACAAATCCTAAAAACTCATGACCTAGCTTTTGCATCTAGGCCAGAAACCATGATGGGAAAGATTATTTGTTACAATTGTAAGGACATTGCCTTTTCACCCTATGGTGATTACTGGAGACATATGCGTAAGTTGACTGTCCTTGAGCTACTTAGTGCCAAGATGGTCAAGTCATTCAGCCCTATTCGACAAGATGAGCTTTCAAATCTCCTATCATCCATTAGATCAATGGACTTAAATTTGCCAATCAACTTAGTCGAAAAACTTCTATGGTTTATGAATGCCGCGACATGTAGGTCAGCATTTGGGAATGTGTGTAAAGATCAACGTGAATTGATAACATTGATTCATCAAGCACAATCATTATCTGGTGGATTTGAGCTGGCTGATTTGTTTCCTTCGAAAAAATATCTACATGGGATTAGTGGCATGGAATCTAAACTAATGAATGCTCGTTATAAGATTGATGCAGTCTTGGACAACATTATCAAAGTTCATAGAGAGAATCATGCAAATGGAAAAAAATGTAATAGTGAGTCTGCAACTGAAGATTTGATCGATGTTTTTTTAAGAGTCATGGAGAGCGGTCAATTTCCAGTTTCCCTGACAAATGACAACATAAAAGCAGTTATTCTTGTAAGTGTACATGGTCTTTTTAATATTTAATGAAACAAAGTTTTTACTATGAAAGTAGATTGTTGTATAGTTACTTACTTGTTTGACCATACTTCTTACTTATAGGATATGTTCGTAGCAGGATCTGACACATCATCTTCAACGGTTATTTGGGCATTATCAGAAATGATGAGAAATCCAAATATCATGGCAAAAGCACAAGTTGAAGTGAGAGAAGTCTTTAAGGGAAATAAAACATGTGATGATGATACTGATCTTGAAAATCTTAGTTACCTCAAGTTAGTGATCAAAGAGACGCTTAGGTTACATCCTCCAACTCCTTTGTTGGTCCCGCGAGAATGCAGGGAGGAAACAGAGATAGATGGATTTACCATACCGTTGAAAAGCAAAGTCATGGTTAACGTGTGGGCAATAGGAAGAGATCCCGAGAATTGGGAAAATCCTGAGTGTTTCATACCAGAGAGATTTGAGAATAGTTCTATTGAGTTTACTGGAAATCACTTTGAGTTTCTTCCGTTTGGTGCTGGAAGACGGATTTGTCCAGGAATACAATTTGGTTTAGCTCTTATTACTCTTCCATTAGCCCATTTGCTTTGCAATTTTGATTGGAAACTTCCAGAAGGAATTAGTGCAAGTAATTTGGACATGACTGAGGCAAATGGAATATCTGCTAGAAGAGAGAAAGATCTTTATTTGATTGCTACACCCTATGTATCTCCTCTCCATTAAATCTGAAATTTTGTTTTAGTACATGTTTGTAATAGTTTCTTTTATTGTACCATGATGAGTAATTGTTGATCAAATAAATGAAAGGTTGAATATAATTCATTGTCTCTTAAATTTGTGAGTATATATTATTTAGATACTTGAATTATAATATGTTCTAATCGGGCACTGTGATAAAGTGTTTTCCATAGATTTGGTTCTAAAATTTTGGAAAAGCTTTTGTGTCCATGTGTTCTCAAGCGCCTCTTACATGAATAATATATATAAGTTAATCAATTAAAATAAGCTACCTCATTTAATTCTATACATAAACTTTAATAAGTTGTAAAACCTCAATTTATATCCTTTCAATTAAAACATGTCATAATTCGAGTATCTAAGTGAAATATAGTGGCAAATTTTAAGAGGTTGGTAAATTTCATAGTTAGCCTTAAAAGATATTTTCATGTTGATTAGTAGCTCCAATTTTATGTTTAATGTCTTAATTAATTTCATTAGCTGTATAGTCATTTATGACTTGCGTGTGTATATATTGAAATTGTGATACATTAATTAGGACTATGAATGAGTTTTGTTGACGAATAAGTTTAGATTTTAGGTGACTGATTATTTAATTATAATAGACAAGTTTTCAGTATTAGAATCAATTCTTTATATTATATTATATTATATATTTTGATAACATTATTTCACTATAACATTTTAAAAAAAAATCATTATTTTAAAAAAATAAATTGAAGTGTTGGCATTTGACGATTGATGTAATGATTTGAAAATGGGAGTAGTTGGAAAAAGCTACGTACCTTGTTAAGCTACCTATTTACGTACATTGTTTATTTTCTTTACTTACTATTTACAATGACGATATTTTGAAATTTTAAACTTCATTATAATAGCTACTTTCCAATTATAAAAATTCAAAATAAGTTATTTATTGATTTTAGCTAATTTTTTCCATTCCCAATGTATACTCAAACCTAATACTTTCTAGGATTATGGGTGATTAAACCCTAACAATTCCACCATATATAGGGACAATTAAGCAGGTTAACTCACACTTATATTGACTATAGACTATAGATATATACTGTATACTACTATAGCCTTTAAGAATATTTATCATAGGCTGAAATTTGTTGCAAATCAACAAACGTAATTCTCATTGACAAGAAAAAAATGATAAAAGAAAAAAAGAAAAAAAAAGAGCAAGTTGCCTCGTTTTGTTTTTTTTTTTTTGTAAAAGAAGGGTTGTGATTATTATTATTATTATTTTACTAACACAGAGAAAACCTATTATTTTATGCTTATTATGTTAGATAAGATCGACTAGTACAATTGAAATTTATGCCTACGATTTTAGTTCATTGTTAATGTTTGGTTCATTTGGTACTTTAGGGGTTTGTTTGATTAATTTATCTTTTAAAGTGTTGCATCTTTAATGAATAAAATTACATATAGTTAGTTTTGAATCTTAAATTGATTACATGGTCAGTTTTTAACCTTGAATCAAAACTTACAAAAATCTCACTAGTTTAGAAGTTAATTATTTTGATATACTCTAGTTTGTAATATTACGAATCTTATCATATTTTTTATATGCCTAGATACGGAGATAATATCTCAGATGGTCACTCAACTTTGAATAGTTCACTCAGAAAGTCACTCAATTTTGAGTTGTTTACTTAGAAAGTCACTCAACTTTGTTTTTAACTAAAAAATCACTTAACTATTGATGTTTCACTTAGAAAGTCACCCAACTTTTTATATTTCACTTAGAAAGTCACTTAATCAATTTAAATAATCTTTTCACTAAATTTTGTAAAAATAATTAAATTATTTTAAAAAATAAATAAGATGCTTGTTTTAATTATTGTTTTTTTTTACTACCTTTTCATTAAAAAAATAGTAGAAGATCGTTACTGCCCCTTTTTTTTAATTACTTCTTCTCGATTCCGATTTTTCTTTTTGGTAATCTTTTAACAATTTATTTCTAGTTTTACAATTACTAGAACTAAAAAACTTTTTTTTTTTTTTGGGTGGGAGGGGGGGTCCAATTGTTACTCTACGTTTTTTATGTTTTTTTTAGAAAAATTATAATTAAATAATTGGAGCAGGGATCAATAAAATAATTAAAATAGATATCTTATTATTTCTTTAAAAATAGTTTAAGATAAAATTTAATGAAAAAATTATTTAAATTGATTGAGTGACTTTCTAAGTAAAATATAAATAGTTGGGTGACTTTCTAAGTGAAACATCAATAGTTGAATGACTTTTGAGTTATAAAACAATGTTGAGTGACTTTTTAAGTAAACAACTTAAAGTTGAGTGACTTTATAAGTAAACAATTCAAAGTTGAGTGACCATTTGAGATATTAACTCCCTAGATACGTCCAGATACATGTATCTCGAGATACATAGGGTCAAAATTAGGTGTCATTTGTTTTAGATACAATGTATACAAGTAAATTCACATGTATCTGGGATACATGAACAATTCTCGCTCATCTCCCTCCCATCTCGCTCACCACTCTCCTATGTATCTGGTATCACAAATACATGTGAATCACACCAGATACATACATATACATGTATCTAGTGTGATTCGCATGTATCTAGGATAAATGACTATCTCGCTCGCCTCCCTCCCCATCTCGCTCGCCTCTTTTCCTATTTTAGTGTATATGGTAGGAAAAATACATGTATTTAGGTGTATATATCTTCCTCAATATATGATAGAAAATTCTTAACTTGTGGTAGAATTAATTTGTCGAACCTTTATTTACTACATTGTTTTGAGATATGCAAATATAGGGTTTTTATATATATTATTATAAATCAGAGGTTATTAAGCTTCATCTGTATTAAAAAGAGTTTAAAATAAATTATAACGTGTGGACTTCATGGAGAAAATGATAGCAATGTTGATATATTTTAGAACTTTGTTGTTGGTGAAAGTAGCAACCAAAATTTTAGAACACATGATAGGCAGAGTCATAATTTATACTTCTGAGATATATGCATTCCGATTTTGAATGCGGAGAAAATATTGAAGAAATCTTCAATTAACAAGCAAAATATTTTTATGAACAATTACATATTGCTAGTCGTCATTTATGTTACGGGAATACACATTCTCAATTGTCAGTTATGTAGATTGGTCATGATAAAGTATTTTCATATTAGAATTTTCCGAAAGTTCAATCATTTTTTGAGTAAGCTATTATTGATTTGCACTAAATATTTAATTACAATGCGATGAGATTAACTCAATATTCTTTGTGTTGGACATGATCAAGTATATCGATCCCACATTTGAAACATGGTTTAAAAAATATGTAAGTGTTTCAGTATCTTCATAAGATTAATATATTTAGTCTCTTCATTTTAATTTGTTTGATGTATTTTTCTTTTTTATATGTTTTAAAACAAAATGATTTTTCACCTTTTTAACAACTCTTTAATTTAACTTTTCACATGACAATAAGACCACAAAATTAATGAACATTTTGATATATTTCAAATATCTTTAGTTTAAGATCAAATTTAATTTAATTTAATTTTTGTTTGGATGGGTGAGTGCGTGCTGGGAACATTGAATTTTTTTATTTTTTTTTGAGAAGACATAAAGTAATTAATGAAATGGAAGCAACAAATGCTCTCTGTTTTGCACTGATCCAAGGTTTTCATTGGTTTCTAACAAAACAAGCAAAAATAATGGTGATTGGTGTGTCACCTATGAAAACAACATGAAAAATGGTGCATGAGATTGTGTGAAAAATGAGAGTTGTCCTATATGTTTGTTACAAAAACATTATGAAGAATCTTAATTGAGTATTTTTGAAAAGATATAATTTGGATCGGTTGGTAAGGTGTATAAGAATAATATTGAATAGTCTAAATTAGTTATTTAGAGATTACTTTTTATGGTGTATATGGTTTAATATATTAAAAATAAAATACATTGCATCACTTTTATAAAAAAAAGAAAAAAAATTTGCTTACAAAACTAACCCTACAAATATGATGGAAAAGATATATAAAAGATTTTGAGGGATAATTATTGTGTCTTTAACAATGCTAATACATGAATTAAAACTCCTTACACTACTAATGTCATGAATTTTAATGTATTAGTAATACACACCTCAATATACTATAAAATATATACTAAACAAAGTACTACTAATACATACAACTAATATATACATTATTTTTTTAATACAATCTACCAAATGATCGGAAAATAATTAATGAATGAAAGCAACAAATGTATATGATCCAAGGTTTTTAGAAAAAACAAGAAAAGAATGGTGATTGGTGTGTCACCTATGAAAAAAACAAGAAAAATATAATGGTGCAGAATGCATGAGGTTTTGTGTAAAAAATGAGACTTCATAGTTAAAAAAACATTATGAAGAATCTTCTATGTGGCCATTCTATTGGCTCTTTTCTTTTCCCAATTTTGTTTTTTACTAAAACTTAAAATCCTATAATAATCAGTATTTTGAAAGCACGAGGAAAGACGTACATTTTTTTTAGTTTTGACCATGAAAATAAAATATTATTTATTTTATTTAAAAAAATTAAAATTGAAATTGAAGTGCAGTACTGAGCGAGGTGTAAATCACGAGATACGTGGCTTAAGGCCTATAAGTTTTTAGTTTTTAAATTTTTAATATAACAAGATTAAATGTAGAGAACACCTTAAAAGTTTAAGAAAATTAAAAAAAAACTCATAAAAAATAAAATATTTGTTGACACCCAATTTTGACCCTCCACAATATAAATTAATCATTTCGAGCTTCTCCAATTTCAAACGATTTAAAATTATTAGTTTTATAAAATTTCTAAAAATAAAATAAAATATTAATAATAGTAAAAAATAAATAAATAGTAATAATAATATAGTTTGCAAGATTTTTAAATAGTTTTGTCACTTTTCATAATTTTTAGATAATATATATGTTTTACATAATTATGTATATAATTAGTATATTTTA